CATTGAAGAACACTGGTGACAATGACTACGACTTAGGTTGTACACCCTTGACATGAATTTTAAATTTTACTGTCTTTAAATTTAAATTATAATTGTCATTTTTATGAATAAAGATATGAAGAAAAATTGGGTGCATTTTTTTATATCATTTTTTCGAAAACTTATCGATACATCTATGTGAACCGTACGAAACATACCCAGCACTAGTCACATTCGTTTGATAGCTGTCATTCTAATCAAGCTATATTGGATAGACTATAGTAGAAATACCAAGCCTTAAGTTGGGATTAATCGCTATCAATCTGTTAAAGAGGATACGTAAGAACAGAATCGATATCAATGTTAGTAAGTGCTCTCATTTAACATTCACACGCAAAACCAATGCCGTCAAGTTTGACGTTGTTTACTTGACGTGACCTTTCTTTATAACATCTGCAATAGCAACATAGACAGCCTTAACCTTGCATCCAAAACGCTTACTTTTGGTGCTCCTCGCACCCGTACTAGACATACTAAGCTTTTTAGCAGTTCTTTGTCTCGCAGTAATTACTCCCAAAATTCTGTGGTATGCAGAATGCACCGCATTTATAACAAAAAGTTTAGTCAAGTCGATTTGTTTTGCACGTCCAGGCACTCTTTCAAGAGGGAGATTTGCGACTTATTAGGTAAATGAAAACTCACGCACACTCACACACACACACACACCACACACACACACACACATATACACACACACAACCTGCATGCAAGCCTATGTTTCTTTTTTTTTGCCCCTTTGACTGTTTTTTTACGAGATTGTAATAATATATAGAATCCATTATTGGCTGTAAGAACAAAAATACCTGTTTGTATTATTATTATAAAGAGCTGTGGTTTTCTGAATAAAGAAAAATAAAATAAAATAAAATACGTGTGATCATTATTTGGTTTTATAACCATAAAATTTGTTCTAATTGATCCCAAAGCTGAGTCCAAAGTGAGGTCTTTTTTCAAGTCACATTTATGGTACCTATACATATGTTAATCATTTATTAAAAAATTAAATGTGTTTTTCTTTAAGGATATTTATTGGGCTTTCAAATAACACCAATATTGCTGGGGCACCATGATTGTGTCAAAAGAAAATCTTTAAAGTTCGCGTCGCGGAAGGTGCGGTTTGATGTTGAGTGTAGAAACAACCACCACATCTTTTCCAACTCTACCCATTTTGTAAGGTAATTCTACCTAGATTATTCAGGGTCTTAAATTTCATACCATGCTAAGCATCGTAGCTAAGCAGACAGGCGCGTTCTCTGCATTCTTGGCTGAGCGACCTACGCATTCAGCTGAATTTGCATATTTACGAATATTGTCGATGGCTTGGCAAACGGTGTATTGATTTTATTGTCTATTTGTATTGAGATTTGCTGCACCTTCTCGTAATGCATTTTCGTTAAAGCCGAGATTATTTGCAAACCATAAACCGCCTAAGTATATTAGTAAATTCTATTATCTTCTTCAAGTTTTTCAGAAAAAACATATAACTTATTTTAAGGTTATTTTCTATATTTTCAACCGACTTCAAAAAAAGGAGGAGGTTCTCAATTCGACCCGTATGTTTTTTTTTTTTTTTTTTTTAAAATAAAACCGACTCCAAAAAACCTACATTAAAAAGCAGAAAAATAATTACTAATAACCTACTTATTTATTAGGACGAATTAATATTTATGTAGGTATACCATGATTGATACTTTTGGAGTCGGTGCAGGCAAACTTTACCTACATGTTTCATAATCTTGGCACCGACTCCAGAAGTATCAATCATGGTATACCTACATAAATATTAATTCGTCCTAATAAATAAGTAGGTTATTAGTAATTATTTTTCTGCTTTTTAATGTAGGTTTTTTGGAGTCGGTTTTATTTTTTTTTATAAAATTTTACTTATTTATTAAGCAGTTAACAAAATGATGAACCTTCAAGAATCTTGTAAATTATTCAATGTAGTTATTTCACTATCTTATTTTATTGTTATGTTATGTCAATATAAATAATAATAAACCACTTCTCCTTTTAGTCTCACGCGGGCTTAAAATCGAAAATGATATTTCCGAAATGATAAGTAATGTTATTTACACAGCCTTCAATTACAAATATTCGTCTGCGTAAGTATCTCGTATCGCAGCGCAGCACACGCACTTTAACTGAGACGAAGCACGCTCTCACGCATTATCCACACTTCAGAAGAGCAACTTATCCGAATTTTATTATCATCTTAAAGTGCTACAACAACTTCATTATCGAAGGCGACACTTATTTTGCATGTTATTTTATTAGTGAAAGTCGTGTGTAATGTTGACATTCCTCGTGTATGGCTCTATTGCCTTATTTCTGTTTATACAAAGTAAAGGTAAATTGTAGACTGGCAAAATTAAAAGTAAACTCTTACCTAGGCTACGAAATTTACCAATTGAATTTACTTTCGAATTTTTCACAATTGAGACAGAAGAACTCACTATTATCAGTATAATTTGGTTACAGTTCATTAATGCGTATGTACATTAATATTTATAACAGCTTGTTAACTAATAGTTAAGAGTTAGGAACATTCAAACACTTTCTTTTGTAATTTATAAACCGATGTTTTCATTTGTAGATATTGCTAGTCTGTAGACACACGTAAAGAATGTTTAATTTTATTTTATCATTAGTTTTCATACTTTTATCATGCTTATGAATGTTAGATATAAGCAGCGTTCTCGAATAAGTGTAGCATGGTAATAAGAATGATAGTAATACTAAAATAAGGGTCATGTTTATTTGGCAGGACATTGCATCTGTGTCACTTTAGCAATTTACTGGAAAGAATTTGGGCTTAATTTTATATTTATCAAAGGCTGTGTGTTTGTGTTTGCGCAGCTTTGTTTTGCCTTATCAAGCAATCCAATGCAAGCCCTGCAATTGCGAAAAAAATGAATTAGTCATTAATGAACAAATGACTCTCTATTCATGATAAAGCTGTTTACTCATCGACAGTGTAGTCATTACATTATTTCAAATCGGAATTAAACGATTAGTTTTGAGTTGGGAATTTTGTTATGGCATAAATAATTATTACCTATGTTGTTCTTTGTGGTTGTCCATTTATGCTATAAACTTTCAGAGGATCAAATTCATTACTCGGTAAATACCTACAAATAACAATTCCAAACAACTGGTGGAAAATGGAAATTCTTGTTTAATGAAAATAGCAATTAAAAATATTTGACGATTGCTTACAAGTAAATTACCTCATTATACCTAATTGGTATCGCATGACGCAACTTTCATTCATTAGCAATAGTAGTTATGCGTCGATCGCAATGTCACCAACAGCCGGGAGGTTGCAAAGGCGAGCAGCTTAGCATTAGATGATGGTGATGACGCGCCCGACAGCCTTCGCCGCGGTGGAACAACTTTCCCCGCGCGCCCCATTCAGATGTTTGCAGGACTTCATTTTCTATTGTATGCATTCCACATTAGTGGACAATTTGTATGGAAACACTCAACGGTTTGGCATGACTTTCTGGTTGACGGCACGTAGGGGCCACAAAATCAATAGGCAGGAGTATCTACTAGGCTTCAGACTTTTTAAGTACTGTTTTAATCAAGGTTAATATCTTTAGTGTTAACTTTTACCCGTAGGAATTTTGATTTCAATTCCAACAATATGTGATTGAAATTATCTCGTAGCTCATTCCAGTTATTATTCAGCCTCTTTTAAAATTTATTTAAAGGCAAATTAAAATACATCAGAACAGTAGAACAAACGTATTGTACCCACGAGTATTTGTATTGATTGGACCAATACATTTCGTTAGTGCATGAATGCGAAACATGTTGAAAGACCTCCCAAATATTTCGGCAAGCAGGTAGGTAGGTTAGTTACTGAATATAATGTTGTTACCGGTCGAGTGGTGACGTCGCAGAGTCGGCATGCGGACTCGCACCTGTGCCGAGCGCACGGAGACGCCACACTGGCCCTTACCACCTCAGTGATAAGGTTCACTATTGTGTAACAGTGCTCTCGATTAACTGTGAACCGCGACTTGCGCAACTCGGGCCCTTGATGCACCATCTACGATCACCAGCGATTACGGAGACGGAAGAATCCGCGTTGCGAAAACTGTAATGCGTTTTTAACGGATTCCGAGAACCGCTCTAATGCATTTTTTCCAAGAGTGACGTGATTGTGATTAAAACCTTCGGTCAGCGGCGGAACAATGACCACTGGCGACCCAGTTCATGTCACAGGTGCGCTTTGTTGGCGTTGTGAACAATCTCAGCGCTTTTCTCTTTTAGACTCACGGACGGTGTTATGTTTGTAAGGCGTCGCAAATGATGTTTATAGAGTGGGTGATAGATCTTCAACATTTTGGCTTATTACTCAGACATCCGTTTAAGTTTGCCACTAGTATGGTATAGGCATGTACCATAGTATAATTTTATGCCTGCGGTATTTATCAATTAATATGCGAGTGCTGTCACGAGTCACATCCGACGCGCACAGGAACTCCTTACAAGTCGCGCGGGCGCCGCCGGGGCAGCCGCGGCCCAGCACTGTGCCCGGGACTGGCCTGATAGCCCTTCGAGTTATCATCCAATTTCTGCTCGAGCTGAAGTAATTGTGGCCGAGTGTTGCCGGAGCAACGACCGTGTGTGAGCCCCAGCGCCCTCTGTCGCCGCGCGCCGCACTGTGCGAGCTCCGTCAGCATTCTTTACAAACACAGCTTATACAGCCTTCTCGACGAAAACTCGATTACTCATTGACACCAGCCTGACATTAATCTCACGAGATGACACCGATTTGAGTGTCGAGGCGATCGCCCGCGGGCTCGCTGAACCGTGGCGATACACCGGTCCCCGACCGCTGGCCGTATGTGGGATACGTGTAGGGAGCGACGACGTACGGGAAAGCGACGCTCGCGCAGCCCCCGGGCCCTGGCCGCGTGGCGGCTTCGGCTTTCCTCCCAGGTACTCACCTCGGAGCTCAGTTCTGTGAGGTGTCACCGCTCTCCTCGATCGCTTTCACACACTACACTCGCGGCGGTACTTGGCGCCTCAGCGGCGACTCGGTTCACACTGGCCGGCGCGCGCGCCCCTCCGCCCCGCCACCTGGCAGGTGCGCGTGCGGGGGGCGGGGGCGGCCTGCGGAGTGCGGAGGCGCGGGCGGCAGTCTCGGCCCGAGCGCGACTCCGCGAGCGCGTCATTCACTCCCGAGCGAGACATGTCCGCGAACGGGTCAGCGGCGACCGCGCCGCGGCTCTGCCACGTGCGGAAATCGCCCAACTTCGACGGGTACGGCTTCAACCTGCACGCCGAGAAGGGCAAGCCGGGCCAGTACATCGGCAAGGTGGACGACGGCTCGCCGGCCGAGGCGGCGGGGCTGCGGCGCGGCGACCGCATCCTGGAGGTGAACGGGCACAGCATCGCCGGCGAGTCGCACAAGCAGGTGGTGGCGCGCATCAAGGAGCGCGCCGAGGACGCCGAGCTGCTGGTGGCGGCGCCGGCGCCGGGCGAGCCGCTGCCCGACCTGGACGCGCCCGAGCCGGCGCCCGCGCGCGCGTCCCCGCCGCCCGCCTCCCCGCCGCCCGCCGACCCGCCGCGGCTCAACCTGCACATGACCGCGGCCGAGATGCGCGCGCAGCTCGCCGCCAAGAAGAAGGTCGACCCCAAGAAAGTCCCCATGGACCTCAAGTCCAAGTTTGACATCGTGAAAAAACTGTGAGGCGCGGTGCCCTGTGCGGAGCGGCCGGACGAGCCGGCGGTGTTGTGTGTGCGGTGTTCGTACTGGATGGCGGCGGGGGCGGAGGCTCGGGCGCGCCCCGCGCTGTTGCCAACTCTCGCGTTATCACTCGCGCGGCGATGACATAAATAACAGAGTGCAGGCTGCGCTGCGGCCGAGGTGTCCCGATGCTTTACCACTGATGTAAAATATTTTTATGCCTTCTACGAATTGCCATTGAATTTTGTACATACATACCTAGTTGCTACACGTCGTTTTAGTAAGTAGGGATGAAATTTTATGTATTTATTTTTACTACGAGTATATTCGATTGAGAATGTTTGATTTTAATTTTGATTATCTAAATGTGTAGATTAATTTTATTTACATTAAGTGCAATTATTGTTGGATGATCAATAAATTTAATTTTACCTAAAAGCTTTGTGTATTATGGATACTGGCGTACGTAGCTGTCCCTCCAGCGGAGGCTGCGTCGGCGCAGCCAGCGGGTCTGGTGATGTCACCGCGCGCGCGAGCCTCCGCTGAGTCACACGCGGCGGGTGATGGCGGCTCCAATCTGCGCCTAATCGGAGCATAATTAGTTGGTACGTGATGTTCCGGGCTCCGCACTGTCAGCGCGGCGTTATCTCGCGCGCTCGTCGTCCGCGCTATCAGCTAGCCAAGATAATTACAGATAGCGCGATACTCGAATGAATCGAATTATAGGCAGGATCATATAGAAACGATTACAATAGCTATAGTTACTTAGGTACTTTATAATTTTTGTCTATTCATGATTGCCCTGATAGGAACTAAGTATTCCACTTGAATTAGGCATTCCGCTGGAATATAGTCTAGTTGTTTGTATACCTGAGAGTTGAACAGCGTAATCGTTTTTTATTAGTGTAAAAAACACGCTAACTTATTATTAACTTGGTCTAGAATGTTGTTGTGGTAATGATGAATTAAATTAAACATTCTTATATTTATAATAGACTACAAAATGGTGCCGTTGTCAATGCGATAAGCTTCGGTATCTAATCTCTATAAAATATATCCGTGACTGAAAGTATGAAAACAACATCCATTAGACACCTTCTTTGGAAATACTTAAATTACAATTAAGTTTAAACCACTCTATGAACGTAAAAACCGTGTTGCTTAAGTCCTGTTTACATTGAAGGCTTATACCTACTCGTATTATTCGATTAGTACGAAGTTAAAACAATTAGGTATAATCAATAAGAACATTCAAGTCTTACTTAGTTAAATACTGTACTTTTTCAGGAGACTTTCATGTCCTTCAGTCTTTAGCCTTTGTCCTTCAGCGTGTGTTAATGAAAAACAGACAATGATCTAACTAACCCTGACAACACAATCGAGCCATATGTGAGAATATTATAAATTGGTATTTATAATATTCTCACTATCACCACTTCAGGAAAAGATCATTGTTTGTTTGTCATTTATGCTATTTTGTTTCGTTCACGACAATTCTGTTTCATGATATGGGATTTGAACTGGTGACCATTCAGGTCAGCCGCGCGCTTTCTCGTCAAACCTCGTTTCATAACAGGTCATTGGTTCTGTTAACTGTTCTGTGCAATGTTAAATTATTGTAAATTGATCTAAGTACCTAGTTATATAATGATTAACAATTAGTTAAGCTTCGGTTCTTCAGGCCAACTCAGTAATTATGTTTAATGCATATTAAAATATTTGTCATTATAAAAGCAACGCTGTGTGACTTAGGCTGGGTTGCACTATCTTCCTTTAACTTTGACAAACGTCAAAAATCTGTCAAACTCCTTACAAAAAGCACCGGTTATCGTTATAGTTACGGCCAAAGGTAGGTGGTGCAACTCAGCCTTAGATTGGAATTACATGGCTGGATTTGGGCCTATAATCCTTGATTAACTAGTTATGACTCCTTAGCTTCAGGTGCTCTCTGCGTGGTCTGCAACTGTACAGCTGACTATGATAATACAATATTGTCACTAGGAAAGGTCTATGGAAGCAAAAAGCAAGAGAAATCAATTTCTAATAAATTAGGACCAGGAATATGTTGTTACATGCGAATCTAACTTCTCACACGCATGTAGGTCTTAGATGTCAGGGCGCTATGGAACGCCATTGGTAGGTACTCGTAGATCTACTGTTCATCAAAATAGCTGCTAAATTCTATATTGTTATTCTTGTCTTGTAATTTACTTAAAACAATATCTTTGTTGGATTTGTTTGCTTAGTAATATTTCTAGAAGTATGTATCGCATAAATATTTTTCTAGGTATTTCTATTTCAACATCAAAACGGGATTTTCATGGATTAAAGGATNAGGATATTGGAACACCATAGCATCTGATGTTGAATGTTGACCTTGAACACTATTCTTGATACAGTCAATGGTACATACTACGTCTTGCTATGATTCACAAATAGTTTGTCAGACATCTTGAAAACGCAGTAAGTTTTAACAATGTCAAAGTTTAACCACATTCACTTTTAAGACTCGTCAGAATCACTAATACATGATTATTTATATAAATATAGATTCATAATAAGTTTCTTAATCTCAGCTTTTTCTAGTTTGGATCTTGAAGGCAACAAAAGTACTTACTTTCGATTTCTTCTCACTTTGCAATATAAATATTTTGATTTTTAAATATCAGATCAGATTTAGTGCCTTTTTCCTATAATGCGGATTTCAGCACGTGCATTTTGCGTCTGGCTGCCCGCATTTGATAAGATCACAGATTAGAGACCAGCGGGGTTACTCCAAAAAACGTTATCCGAAGTTCCGAATATTGCCATCTCTCTCGCGCGAAGCGAGATGCCATCAAGAGCGACGGTGACAGATAGACCCGAAACTTCTTCTTCTTATTCGTTACGCTCTTGGCAGAGCGGTCGTGGTCACGTTGAGGCGTTGTTCACATCGGTTGTAGAGGCGGATACAACTCTCCGCACTATCTCCCTCCATCTCTCTCTATTGGCAGACTGTCTGCCACTGACTGTCTGACCCGAAACTACGTGAACAAAGTTTCGGAGTTGCCCCCCAGATCCGCACGCGTGCCGAAATTCGCATCAAAGAAAAAAGGCACTTGCTGTAGCGGATAATCACCGATAATATTACATCTGATAACTATAATCATCATACATGCTTGATCTAGGTAGTCTTAGTACATCAAATCACTTGTCACTGATCTCACAACTAGCCTCTTTGTCACCATTTACTTTCAAGTTTTCATGCTATGCTGTCAATTTCACCGCACAGCGAATAGTGCTCACCAATTTCTCAGTGAGTGGTGAAACACACAGCGTTACACAAACGTCCAACAATCCAATCCACGATACACTATTTTCTTCACTGCCTTAGTGAGTCGTGAAACACACAGTGAATCCACAAGCGTCTCGATCCAAGCCTCTTCACTATTTTCTTCACCGATCCCAGTTTGTCACAGACATGTCACTTTATCCACTTTAAACTATACAAAGAACACTTTATTCACTGTTACATCACTGTCACTGATCACTGACAGTTCGTCAGAGGCCTGTCAACAGGCGTAGCGCGGCGGCGGCGCGCGCGGCCACCCGCTAGAGACCCGCGTAGTTAGCCGTCACTATGAGCGGGCAGACGCGCGTGAACACCAGGCCTGCTAAGATGCCTGTGACGAGAGACGCCGCGCCGATCATACCGGCTGTTGATGCGTTCTCGGGCGCTACCGTCCTGGAAATAACAATAATAAAAATTTATAAAAAATGAATACTTCATTTTCAGGATTAAGGGCTATGTCTTGACCCAGTTGGATACTCTTATGACTTTTTAGGAAATCTTTGGTTGAGACTTTTAATACTTTTGCTCTCGTAATGTCAATATTTTTCCACTTATTTTAGGAAAGCAACAAAATGACAAGAATGAGCATAATATTTCCAGTACTACTACAGCTTTTGAGGAAAGAAGTTAGGGGGAATTATGCTAATGTCACTTCATTTACCATGTTATAAAATAATATTAATACCATAACATAACAGTATGCTGTTAACTAATTATGTTCTTGGTTAAAATGTAGCAAGTCTTAGGTGCACACTAATTTATTAACAAACCAGCGTGTGTTTTAGAAAGCTATAATATACCCACTGATGAAATGTGGTAATGCTAAAATTGAGCAAAACCACAGCGTTGTAGTGGGACCAACATAGAAACTGTGTCACTTTTTTGTAGATAAAAAAGATGATCTATGATAAAAATGTCCAAGATGATTATCTTAACATCAGATACAATAATAACTCAAGTTTTTTTATGAGTTTTAGACGCTTATTGGTATGTATGTAGTTTTTTGTTCCGTGAAGCGAATTCGAAATTAAAAGTTAGCAGCGTGATAAGTTAGCCTGTACTACCAAAGTAAGTTCACCACAGACAACCAGCGAAAAGGGTTAAGCAAACCCTGGCAAAGGGTTTGAACCAGCGTGCAGCGTTCCTCGGATTTCTAGTTAGCCAGACTGACACCGACACCGTTTTGTTATGGTCTAAAGCTAAAACTGTCATGAATCTTTGTCTCTGTCGATTGAACTGAACAGTCTTTCTACTTACGACTAAACAAGGACTTATTTTTGTCAAGTAAATAAAATCCAATTATTATTTTACTTACCCACTGACATACATCATGCCCAAAGAACTGCAGTGGCCGGAGCTCCATCCTAACAAAGCTGCGAAGGCCCAGTACAGCTTATCGTCGTTGATCCAGATGGGCAGCGTGCGAGTGGCAGACTTGTAGTTGCACATCAGGAAGAACGGAATGAATAGGATACGCAGTGTCGTCATCAGGGACAGCCAACGCTTTGACGGCTGGAAGTGGTAGATGGTTATTAGCAAAGTATGTCTTGTTGAAACCATATTGGGTTGAAAATACAACTAATAAAGAAAGTGACTGAACCATCAACAATCCAGTGTCAGTGGGGTCTTGTCAGAAATTACCAGAAATATAAAAAAAATGTAACCTTTTTGAACAAAAAGTAACCTTCATACGGGGGGGGGCGTGTGCGGAGAGATTGTGTAAGGTTGTTCATGAATGGAAAATGAATACAATTGATCATCAATTGTTTACCTAAATTCGAAATTTTGACCATTCCATGAAGACCGAAAAGTGACCGGTCGTTTAAAACTGTTTCATGGATTTGCGTTTTATTATCGAAAAACATTCGCTAAAACTCATTTTCTTTAACAAATAATAAATCATGTTTAAATGCAGTTTATGACATAATTTTTAAATTGTCACTTTTA